ATATAAATAATTTTAATCGCCGTTGAATAAGAAATGTTTCTTTCACAAGAAATGTATAAAATTACAGTACTGTATTAGACTTACGGTACCTAATTTACATACTGACAGACGATAGTTAGCGTAAAAATCTCCGTAGCGTGGCGCCACGCTAGACGGCGGAAATTATATATTTAATTATAACAAAGTTACAATAAGTTAATATATAATTATATATACAGTACCTAATTTATATATAATTAATATATAATTATATGTACAGTACCTAATTTATATATAATTTATATAATATTGTCCAGACGATAGAAATCTCTCCGTAGTTGGTGCTACGGACGGCGGGAAAGTAGTTTGGCTGCCTGATGAAGTTTGAGGTAATTATAGGGGGTTTTTTACTGTTTTTTACGGATACCGGTCACAATTTTTTCATAGTTTTATAGGAATCGTAATTATAGGGACTGTAATTATAGGGGGGGTCGACTGTATAACATTAATCTATGCTGTATGTGCATTTGAAAATAATCAGTGAGTTACCATTCACTTTGCATAACAGAATGAATTGTAGCTCAAATCTCTGTGAAACATGGTAGAATCAACAAGCTTATTAAGTCAGCTGGAAGTTAATCATGTCTTAAAATAAAATTGAAGTAATTGTATACAAAATTTATATATACAGTAGAGTATCATTTATCCAAATGAATTGGGGACTGGGGTTGTTCGGATAACTTATTTTTCGGATAACCGACTATGTACGAAAAATATATTAACCTATCCAATGTTGAAATTTTTCTCCGTAGCATGTTGCTTCACATTGAATTTTCGTCAATGTTAAGCCTCACGTAAATTTTTATAATAATAATCGTCGCTATTGTATCGTTAAAAATTACATTCGACTCCCCTATAACACGGGTTCATATAATGCGGATTCGTATATTGCAGCAAAAAAATTGCGACCGTATTTGTATAAAGATGCTAAAAGAGACTCGTAAAATGCAGTAAAATGTCATTTCCGACTCGTGTCGCAACAGGATTAGTTGAATCTGGACCAACAGTGGACGAGCAGCCGAACTACTTACATGCTACGGAGAGTTTAGGCGGATAAGTTGAGTTTACTATCGTCTGAACAGTATATAAATTAGGTACTGTAAGTCTAATACAGTACTGTAATTTTATACATTTCTTGTGAAAAAAACATTTCTTATTCAATGGCCATAAAAATTATTTCTATTAATGATGTCTCCAAAGTTCAACGAATTTTTCGCAGAAAAATAACTTATCAGAAAACGCGCTCGCCGTTTGGTGCACTGCTCCGTGATGAAAACAAGCTTAAGCAATGGCATCGTTGAATGGTGCACACTCGGTAAGTAATTCTACAATTTTTTGTTCATAGCATAGTTTATACGGATTATTCCCAAAAAATTATATGTGTTTTGGAAATGTTGAGTCCAATTAGTCTAGAATCGATTAATTTTATGGAAGAAAACCTTTTAAACAGTTGTAGTCCGTAAACTGCACATGTGCCGGGTTGTGATTGGCTCATGTATTTAAGGATTCATACAACGCGAAATTCTTATGAAGTGGAACGTATCTACTGCATTATAGGGGGGAGTCAACTGTATTTATTTATTTTGTACAAACAAAATAAATATATTGAAAAATATAAAAACAAAAGAAATTATACTTTAGAAATTAATCTAGTATTAAAAATGTTCGATTCAGCACGACACACAGTCCTCAGAAAAACACCACACAAAAGTGCCAGTGCTGCCAGCTAAAACATACACACCAACAAAAAAAAATATTGGAGTAGCCCAAGACATAGCCAAAGGTTGTAGTGCCACAGCATTAGCGGAAATTTAAATTTGCCGACCGGAATGCTTTTGGTTAACTGACGTTTCAGTTGACCGGCTTTCGGATAAATGACCCTCTACTGTATTCATAATTTATTATATTAATAATAATAATTTTAGTTATATAGGAATCCTAAGAAAATTTTAATCATATTAAAATAATTTCAGGACAGTATAGAAGTTTTTCCTTCAACTGAGAATGCATACTATTTTTATAAGATAAATAATAATTTCTACTTTTTAAATAACAATAATCTATGTTCTTAGGAAAATCATGGGATTGTTCCTTACTCGAATTTCTCTAAACCGGCTTATATCGAAGAAAGCACCAAAGATGTTAAAGGTATGTACCATTTTAGATATGATGTACGTAGACTATACATTGCTAATAAGAATCACTCTTCTTGAATGTACTGCTTTCGATCAATTATTTCATTCAGAAATTGTATATTTGAATTTATATATTCAGAACCTTTTGCGTTGGCTAGAAAACAGGGTTGTCCAAAAGTCAGTTAACTGTTTAAAAGTAATTTTAGATGCAGTTTACTTCCTAACAAAGCTTACAAAACTTATTACTAATGATGCATTCTAATATATAGTTACATGTTCTCTGGTATAAAATTGAGTTGGTGTCCAAACATGCAAAAGCTTTTGCTTCAGTTAACTAGTTTTGGATCACTGCAGGCTTGCATGTGTGCACATTGTATTTCTTATACAGTCAAACCTCTGGTTTCAAACAGCTCACTTTCTGAACAGAATTTTGAACTGATAATTGCTCTGGTTGCCAAACAAGCTACTTGGGAAGAGCTGGCCACAGATTAGAGAGAGACAGATGGTCAACTCTCTGTACTTCCTACGTTAAAGAAAGTCAATGGCTCAATCAATCAATGACAGAATTATTGATTTAGAAGTTGGTGCTGAGATCATTTTGTGTCATTAAACGTCACATCATGAATCATTGATGATGATGCTATTTAAATTAGATTTCAATGGAAACATACTGTTACTGTGTTTTGGTACATGTTGCAGTTGAATCTAAATCAAATTAATTAATAATAACCACATTAATTGACATTCACATAATGTAAATGGCATCCAAGAAATTTATTTAAAAGGTGTTTAAGTCAAATTAAATAACAAAAATGTATTATTTCTCTTTAAATATATAATTAGTGTTCGTCATTATATTTAAAAGTATTAATTAAATGCAAGAACTTTTAATGAATGTTTTGTAGATAAATCTGGTATCTGCAAGTCAGAAAAAAAAAATCTTTAATTAACATATAAAAATATTACTACTAACTTTTTTCAGGAAAAGTGAACAATGGGAATTTATTTCTTCCACAAATTCCACAAATTTTTTTGTATTTTGCATTATATCTTTTATTTTTTTAATTCCATAAGTCACTGTGGAACCTAAGAAAGCTAATGAAAGTGTGGAGGTGAAAAGGAAAAAAGTGAAAACAACAATAGAGATGAAGAAAGAAATCATACGGAAGCACGAAAGTGGAGTTCGCGTCTCGGATCTGGCTTTGCAGTTCGGCTTAGCAAAGTCATCGATCTCTACCATTCTCAAGAACAAGGAAGTAATAAAAGATGCTAATGTTGCCAAAGGAGTGACTGTAATCACCAAGCAAAGATCACAGACCTTAGAAGAAGTGGAAAAGTTGCTTCTGATTTGGATCAATGAAAAGCAGTTGGCCGGCAACAGTCTTTCGAAGGCCATCATTTGTGAGAAAGCAAGGCTTTTGTACCAGGATTTGCTCAAGAAAACCCCAGGTTCAAGTTTTGAGATTGATAGGTTTAAGGCTAGTCGAGGCTGGTTTGAAAAGTTTAAGAAGCGAAGTGGCATACACAGTATAGTTCACCATGGAGAGGCTTTGAGTGCAAACAAAAAAGATGCTGAAGACTTTGTGAAAGAATTCTGTGCTTATGTGGCTGCAGAGGGTTTTATCCCCCAGCAAGTGTTTAATTGTGGTGAAACTGGACTGTTTTGGAAGAAAATGCCAAACAGTACATACTTAATGCAGGAAGTGAAGGACAGGTTAACTCTTTTGCTTTGTGGAAATGCTAGTGGTGATTTTAAAGTGAAACCATTGCTCGTTTATCATTTGGAGAACCCTGATGTGTTTAAGAGAAACAATGTTGTGAAAAACAAGTTGTCTGTCATGTGGAGGGCTAACAGTAAGGCCTGGGTGACCAGACAGTTTTTCCTGGAATGGGTCCATGAAGTTTTTGCTCCTAGTGTGAGAAAATACCTTAATGAAAATAATTTGCCACTGAAGTGCCTGCTTTTGTTGGACAATGCTCCTGCTCACCCCCCAGGCATGGAGGCTGAATTACTTGGAGAGTGTGACTTCATCGTCATGAAGTTTTTGCCTCCTAATATTACTTCAATTATTCAGCCGATGGACCAACAGATCATTTCTAACTTTAAAAAGTATTACACTAAAGCACTTTTTCAAAGATGCTTTGAGGTTACCTCTGACACAGAGTTAACTCTCTGTGACTTTTGGAAGAACCATTTCAATATTTTGCTCTGCTTAGGTCTTATTGACAAGGCCTGGCAGCAAGTTACTTGCAGGACCTTGAACTTGGCCTGGAGGAATCTCTGGCCTGATTGTGTTGCAGTGAGTGACTTTGAGGGATTTGAGACAGATACTGATGGAGTTGTTGATGACATAGTGTATCTAGGTAAAAGCATGGGTCTGGAAGTGAACAATGCCGACATCGAAGAGCTGGTGAAGGAACACAGTCCTGAGTTATCTACCGATGAACTCGAACTCCTTCAGAAGGAGCAGCAGAAGGAAGTGCTCAAGGAGATACCTTCGGAGGAAGAAGAGGGAAGGGAGGATGTTCCTATTGCTCTTATTAACAAAATGTGTGCAAAATGGAGTGAAGTGCAAAGTTTTGTTGAAAGGTATCATCCTGATAATGCAGTAGCAAGTCGTGTCATTAATCTTTTCAATGACAATGCTATGTCTCACTTCCATAACATTGTGAAACGTAGACAAAATCAAATTTCATTAGATAGGGTTTTAGTGAAAAAGAAGCCTAGTGAGTCTCAGGCAAAATCTGCTATGAAGAAGCAGGAAATCCAGGAGGTAAGAGAAAAAACTCCTGAAGTACAGTTACTTGATGCTGTTCTGGAGGGTGACTCACCTTCCAAGAAATAACATTCCTACCCTTCCATCTCTTCTCCAACCTCCATTTGCACAATCAAGACTTCTCAGCACAGGTAAGGATTAATAAAATTGTCTTTCTTATAACTTTATTCCTTATTCAATTGGTATGTTATAACATAATAATACATTGCATTTGTAGGCATTTTTACCTATGAAATACAGCTAAAAAGATAAAAAAAAATGCTTTATTTTAGGGGTCATAAACAGATTAATCCATTATATATTGTCTCTTATGGGAAAATTTGATTTTTTTGTGACAGATCTGTTTTAGAACAACTTTCAGGAATGAATTATGTTTGAAAACAGAGGTTTGACTGTATTACATGAAAAATGGTTCGTTGATTCTGTTCACAGATTCTTTTGCCTCTGATTGCAAGACATCAGCTTTATAAAAGAATTAAGTATGATTTACACTGGATGCAAAAGTAAAGAGAGAGAACAGAGCAAATGAGGTGAGCAAACCAAGTTGTAGTTTTGCACTTTTATCAATACAGTAGAACCCCTCTAGTCCGCCCTCGGCTAGTCCGTCACTCCGGTTAATCCGACCGTGGTCGGAGTCGAGAAACTTGTCCCGACTCGTCAGTGACTCACCGTCCGTGGAGTTTTTCTATGTTCGTTACAGTATATGTTTTACATTGTGTGTACATGTACAGTTTTGTGTGTGTTTTTAACATGTCAGGAGTGAAACGTAAACACGTTACTCTTTCATAAATGAAAAATTAGCAGTGCTACAAAGACTGGACAAAGGGGAAGATTGTTTATTTTACTTTTTTCTGATAATCCGACCTTTTCTGCGATCCGACCATACCCCCAGTCCCAAAGGTGACGGATTAGAGGGGTTCTACTGTAGATGGCATTTTAAAAAATTTGATATATATTGCAGCTGCTATATTAACATTTTTTTTATTTACTGTGTTGTGTAGTCTTATCAAAATTCAATTATATACCAGTATTATTTTCAATATGGGTCTTTTTAATTATTGGGTATCATTTTTTTTCCTGCTGTTAGTCAAGAACTCTAATTGAGATGAAAATGTTGCTTTCATTCGCTTGTGCTTGCCAATGCATCCTTACTGCATACTCCCATTTGCTGACAAAAATTTTTAACTCGCTTTGCAAGGCTATGTATGCTTACATTTCATCAGTAGCTCTCTTCGATTTGTTATATTTTGCATCTTACGCATCCAGTGTAAATCACGCTTTAATTAATTTTACAAAGGGTCCAATTCAGTTTTTTGAAAAAGTACTGATTAGAGTCTAAAAAGTATTTACGTTTAAATAAGTAATGAATTAAGTACAGCTGATGAAAACTTTGGCTCATTTATAGCAGATCATGTGTAATATAGTTGGAGTTTCCACAATAATGGGCAAAAAGTATTTTAAGTAAAACAATTTATTATTTGTAAGTTCAAAAAATTGTTTCTAAAACTGAGTGCAAAACATGAGAATTGCCGTCTATATTCAGTGTAATATACTGTTTTTAGTTTAAACTTGAATCATTTCCGAAACTCTTCGTCTTAAAAAAAAGGCGAAAAAGTCCTGTCTGGACTCGTCTTCTTTTGTTTTGCACCTTTTCCTTTTAACCATCATCTTGCTTCTCTCTCGAAGTCACACCTTATCTTGCTCTTGTCGTCTTGTCGGCAGATGGCATTCCGCTTTCCACATTAATAATAGTAATAACTTCAACAAATCAATAACAACTGCTGTATGATATTAAGCTAAATAATGACTATAATAATTATAAATTAGTAATAAATTTATTATAGCCATTATTTTACCTGACATCATATGGCGGTTGTTGTTGATTTATTGTAATGTATCACGTTTGTAGGGATGTTTATGTTTGTAATAACTTCAACCAAAAGAAATGGCAGAAAAACCTTTCATTGTGAAGAAAGTTTGATAAAAGTCACAAAATTGCAATACCAATTTCAAATTATGTCAATAGACGGGAACTACAAGTATACTATATAGAACAAGGTGTGGACATGATACCATGATGCATTGCAGCAATATATAAATTTTCGTCTACAAGTACATATTTTCTGATATCAGGACTTATACTGAAACTCTGTAGCATTATCTGTAAAGCCAGTATAATAAGTCCTGATATTAGAAAATACGTACTTGTAGACGAAAATTTATATATTATAGTAAGTCAAGGACATTGAGGCATTTTAATTAAATTATGCATTGTAGCAGACTGCCATATTCAGTCTTTTGAGATGTGTGGTGTTTTTAGAGCAAATCTGATTGATTGTTTCTTTTGATCTCGATTAGTTGGATTTCTTGTTCCAGGATAAAGCTTGTAAAAAATAGAAAATTGCAATTACCAAGTAATGATCCTAGCTTCTGGTCAAAGTAGCTTGAAAACAAGCAGAGAAAGCTTCAAGTGTGATGCTTGTTAGCTCATTTGTCACAGTCTGTTGGATATCTGCAATATCTTGACAAAACGTTCCTTTCAGTTGCTTGACAAAATGTCCCTTTCAGTTGTAACCCTTTGTCAGAAGAGTGTAATTTTTTTCTTGTTGCTGCGAGTGAAAAAGCAACTGAAAGGAACGTTTCATCAAGATATTGCAGATATCCAACAGACTGTGACAAATGAATTAACAAGCATCACACCATCACACTTAACTTTCTCTGCTTGCTTCCAAGACCTCCAGAAACATTGGCAATTGTGTGTAGATAGCTGAGGGGACTACTTTACTACTTTGACAGGAGCTAGAATCATTACTTGGTAATTGCAATTTTCTATTTTTTACAAGCTTTGTTCTGCTGGAACTTTTCTGACAAAGGGTTGTGTGTGTGTACACACAATATACATGTTTTGTCTGAAAACTGAAAAGCTCCAGCACAAAGCTTGATAAAATATGAAATTGCAATTCTATATCAATCTATATATATATATATATATATACATAAACATATACATATTTATTTTAAAAATGGTTTGGTGTTCAGGACCAAATTGTAAAAATTTGACAACTAGAGGTGAGGTATAAGATTGTTCCATTTTCCTGATGACAGCTCCAGGAGAGTGATGATTTAAGAGTTAATGTAAGTAATGGCTTATTAATGATTATATACAGAGGAATCAGATTTATTAGAACTGAATAATAATCAATTTTCATTGTGAATAATTGAAGAAATTCTGCCTTGAAGATTTCTCTCCCAAGGTGACATTTTATTCTTATAATGTACTGAAGTTTCTTAATGTATAGTACATTAAGAAAAACATGCTCTGCTTACATTTTGCAAGCTTATTTTTAACAAATGTTTTTAGGACATTAAACATTGCTTTTTCAGATTTAAAAAAATAAAAATATTTATCCAAAAGAACCACATAATATTATCATAAGAAATATTCACTAATCAATAATTTTTCAGAAACATCTTACTTACATTAATTAAATTATTATTATTATTATTATTTATTAATTGTTGTAAAGATGAGATTTGTAATACAGTAAGACCCCGTTTAATGCTGATTTGATATAATGCGTTCTGCTCGAAGCCTTAAAAAAGCTCAAAATTTACACTGATTTAAATTATCACCACATTTCATTGTTTCGTATATAAAACAATTATTCTCAAACATGAACCAAACAGCAAAAGTATCAATTCGTCATAGCGCCATGCTTTCCTTAAATCTATATTTGTTTGGTGCAATTTTGGTAAAAATATAACATTATGGATGCCACAGCAATATTGACTTTGCTTGGCAAGAATTAACTGATAAATGCATGAATGAAGTGTGGAAGAAGTTATGGCTGAAGGTATTGAAAAATTCTCAACGAGAAGAACCTGTCTCTGTATCGTTAGGTTGACCAAGTTGTCAACCTAATCAATATAGCATGACTAGGAGATGTAGACAAGCAGGATATTGAGGAGTCACTGCAGGTTTCTGGTGATAGCTTTACCAACAACAACCTTCAAGAACTGGCAAAACAAGGAATTTAGTGTGGAACTGGAAAATAGTAATTCTGAAAACGAAGAACCCAAAGCATTTCTCTACAGATTTCCTTAGTAAAAGTTTATTAACAATAACCGAAATCATTGATCAAATTGTAGCAAAGGATCTATATTTTGATAGGAGTGTAAAAACAAGACGGGGCATTTTGGATGCGATCTTCTGTTACTGACATTTGTTTAATAAAAGAAAAAAACAGCAAAAAATAACACTAGACGACTTCATTGCAAAAAATCAAAAATTTCAGAAAAGTCAGAACATTCATCACAATAAATGAACTTTACATTTCTGTGTGTATATGCTTGTGTTATTTAACATAAATTTTGCTATTATGTAACACTCCTTTCAAAATCTGGATCATTCGCTACAATTTGATCAATGATTTTGGTTATTGTTATTAAACTTTTACCGATTTTACATTAATTTTAAGTTATTTTTATATTAATTATTTTATATTATATTATATTATTATGCAAATTAATATAAAAATAACTTAAAGTAAAATCTGTTTATGTTTGGTCATGTGTTAACCTATCCCTATATACTCTGTGTTAAAATGACCTCATTTAATGCTATTTCGTTTAGCGCTTTGTCATGTAGGTACGTATCTCCCGCGTTAAGCAGGGTCTTACTGTATTACATACAATAAATGATTACTTGCTTAGAAGACTACAGAAAATTATTTTCCTCTTCTAATTGATATTATCTTTTACCAGGAACATCAGCCATACAAGACTGCTTGAATTTACTCAATAATAAAACTTCAACTGAAATTTAGTTTGTATTTCATAATTATTATTGCTTTCATAAATTAATATTTTGATACAAATAATGCTATTTTCTGCATATACTATCATTCAGTATGAGCATGTTGCATTTTCTGAAGTAACAGTTTTAGTGAAATTTTAAAATACAGTATCAGGTTACTAATAGAGATTTCTTTTAAAAATTTTATATTGTTAGACGAAAACAAAAATCCAGCATATAATAAACTGTTTTAATATTTAANTTTGTTGCTAATGAAATAATGTCAAAATTATTCCTAGATTTCAGATTATATATAGGATTTGAAGTAGGTCTGATCACTTCCTAACCCAAACAAAATTAAGAATTCCACCAAGATGTTACCCATCTTGGTGGAATTCTTAATTTTGTTAAAAAGAAACCAAATGTTAGACATGAATCGGAAAGAAAATTTAAAATAAATTATTATACAATGATAGTATCAAATGGTTATATACTAGAAGAATTGAACAACAGTGGGGGGGAATTCCAGAAGACAGAGATATAGAAAATTAATGGGAAAATATCAAAACAATATTAAAGGCAGCAGCTGATGAGTCTCTGGACTCATCAGCTGCTGCCTTTATTAGTAACAGTCAATTCCTATGGAAGAAGGAAATTGAAAATATGGGACAATGAAATCAAACAACTAATATTACAGAAAAACACAGCATATAAAAAAGTTTTAAGTAGTAAAAAAGCTGAAGATACAATAGAATACAAATGCTGCAGAGCAATTGCAAGAAGAGAAATAAGGAAAAGACAACAATAATCATGGACAAACATTGCTAAACCCGATATATAATAAAGCTACACACCAACCGAATGCCGAAAATATATCGGGCTAGTATAAGGCTAATTATTAAATGAAATTACGTAATCAATTTGTTTTTAGAGGTAAGCGTTAGGCGCCATCTC